CTGCTACTACTACTACTACTACTACTACTCCTACTCCTGCTTCTGCTACTACTACTACTACCACTACTACTACTGCTACTGCTACTGCTACTGCTACTGCTACTGCTACTGCTACTTCTTCTGCTACCCTCCTGCGCCTCCTCCTCCTCCTGCTTATGCTGCTGCTGCTGTTCCCTCTTCTCCTCCTTTTCCTTGCCCTGCTCCTAGTCCTGTGCTGCTGTTACGACAATAACCATAATTACATACTCCCTCTGATGATTAAGATGATGCCCATGAGGCGCACTACACCAACCGGGCTGCTTGGGTCTCGGAACTAGGCATATTGAAAACGACCCATGTGACATGATATAACCCAAGCTTGAAGTACCGTTTAGCGTCATCCTGCTGGCTGGCTTCAACTTTTTAAGGCCAGGGGCCCAAACCCAAACTCCCAGCTATGCCCAACGACGCCTGCTCGTAGCCAGGCTTTTGCAAGGCACGAAGAAGCTCCTAGTCTACTCCAGGATGCGATTGAACGTGGACTACATAGGGGCCTTCACAAGTGGAATGGGGTTATCGGGTTTATCAGTATGACAATGTATGACATGACTGCTGCGTCCCGGAACAGGCTTGGGAGATGATTTTGCCGGGCAGCTGCATACATTCGCGGACGCTTTGCCGCATCACGACCTCGAAGGGCCCGCACACCACTTTGTGGCACGTTGACTGAGCGGCTGGGCCATCTTTTGTTTTGCCACACAACGACGAGCAGAAGCATCAAGGATCACCGGAACAACCTTCGGATAGACTATGTGATAGAGTATGTGCATGCGGCTCAAGATCCAAAGCATATACACTGGGCCAAACCAGCATGGTATTAATGAGAAAGGACTTTGCCTCTTCGTTTTTGCGGCGAGAAAACTGAGGAAGGATTTCCTGCAGTGCCGCCGCCCCAGGGTCCAACAGAAAAATCGCTGCCGTTAGTTAGTGTTAAGCTCTGCTCAAAGGGATGGAGTGCTGGCTACCCTGCGATGTATTAATCGCACATGTCTGCACAGCTGTCGTTCACTCTGCATCATCTCGAGGAAGTGCGCTTGCATCCAAGGACATCCGTAAGATCCTCAGACTCTCGCTCGGGAACTGCAAACCGTTCACGGCACACTTTTCAGGCACATGCGTTTTCATCCCGAATCTCTGTAAAGTTGACATATGCCGGTCTCGAAGGACTGTCACTTGATCGACTGCAAAGGCGGGCTACAGCAATTGAAAACTGTAGCTCACAATGGCTATGTATTCGCGACACGCAAGGAAGCTGTCGTCTTCTCAATACATGTCAGGCGTTCGATTGGACAGAAAAGCCGCTGCTTTCAGAGCGATAACCAAGCGAATTCCAAACTCGACTGTCAGGACGCGGTGGTGTACGTCTTAGCATGATCCACTGACACTGCTCTGTCGAGGACAAGCAGCTTCAAACAGCTGTAGAAGTTGTCACGCTGATCGGAATCCTGGAGATCCCCAATCCCATCAGGAATGCTTGAATGCTGTCATGCCTGCTTAAGTATAAATTTGGGCTGATATTTAGGGGTTGCAAACGTCATGTGTCACGTGCGTGCCTAGCCGCCTAACTGACTAGCTCAAACTGTAGTGGGCATGACTGAAACGGATGGGTAGCGCAGGGTCTCGCAAACAGCATGGTCAAAGGCTGGCCTCGAACTGAAAGCACAGCCGAAAGTCAGTCTCTCTGCTGAAATCCTTGGTGGCGTGCCTACAGCACTGAAACGCCTACATTAGCAACGCGGCATTGTGCATCTCGGCCGGACGGACTGGATGTATTTTAACGCCACCAGAAACCGATACTCCAAACACAATAGAGGTCCCCAAGGTCGTCCAAGCCACTTCGAACCTTATAAGTCGTATATTCTTCGGGTGTAGACCCCTTCAACCGAAACCGTAAACACGCCGAAGACCGATATCCTGATTGCCTCCACCTCTTCAGATCTGTGGTCAGAGAGCGGCGCAACTATGATGAAGATTTGGTGATGATGATGATGATGATGCTGATCGTAAATCCTAGACCCTGGGGCCAAGCACCACGGCTATGCATCGCGGGGCCAGGTGAGCCAAGCTCGGGACCTTGCGCAAAGACGAGGCTCGGAGCCAGGCGGAATATTTCTACAAGTTGAAGGCTTTGGGTTGCAAAAACGCTGCTGCTACTAACTACGTCTGCTGCGTCTGCTGCTGCTGCTGCTACTACTACTACTACGACGACGACGACGACGACTACGTACTACTTCCACTAAGACTACTATGCTGCAAGGAGGCAGCAGGTTCAAGTGGTTATCGAAGAGCCCAGCAACCCTTGCCTCTGAGAATCCCGCCTCAACCTGAAATTCGAAACTTCCACGGCATCATTTCCACTTCCCAAGTCTTCGAACAACTACTTTGGCGGAGGAAAGAGACATAGGGTAGAAGAGAAGGCCTGGTAACGTTTAAATGTTTTCCGAACTTCTCGATGAACTTTCTGGAACACACATCCTTCAGGCGGGTCAAGAAGTCTTCAGGAGCTTGGGGAATGATTCTGGTGGATTTCGGCCTTGCCAGAAGCGCCTGTCATGTTCCCCAAAACGACCTCCCTGATAAGATCCCTGTTCCTACGACCTCCAGGAGCAGATTCCCAAGCGCTAAGAACTCCATTTCAAAGCCCTGGTTGAGCCACGAAGCGCGGCAGCGATCAACTCTTGTACCCTAAACTCCCATAGGCCGGGCGCCGCGAGCCCGAGAAAGCGCAGCCCCAAGTCGGCCGCCTAAACACCTAAACCCTCCCTATAAAGTCCCTTAAACCCTGCGCCTTTGGGTCGAAATCTGTACGCCAACAACCTCTGATACCCTAAATCCTAAACCCTAGAACGAAGCCTGAAACCGACACTAAGGTTCTCACGACCTGCTGAAACTCCGTGTCTCGGAAAATGGCCGCCATGTCCTGGGCATCGACGAATCCAGCGAGCCCAACTTACCACTTCGATTCAGCAATCTTGCTGAAAGCAAAAAAAAGAAGTCTCTGTCATTAAATTTGACTAAATCATCTGACAAAGACCTGTTTGATGCAAGGAATCCCTTGTGCTGGGCTCTCTGGGTCCATGACTTCAAACCACTCGGTTGCTTACGGCAAGCACAACCGTCGGCATGATCGTGACCATCATCATCGACAGATTTTCATTTTGACCATGCATGAAATATCACCGTCGTCATCAACGCCAGAAAACCACGGGTTGGGGGGAGTGTTCTACATTCTGGCCTTCTTCGGGGTCCGCCTGCTGACGAAGCTGCCTTGACAGAACAGCGACCCAGAGCACTGGTTCACAGATTGGCCCATGACCGGCCTGAGATAATTACTTGTCGAATACCTGCCTTTATCCGAAAGCCTCCATCAGTGCATTAGACTCGGAAGGCTGTGTGAAACCGGGCGCCGTGCACCTACGAAGGCTGGAGCAGCAACTGATCATCAACATCATCTCAGCTTGCAGTTGTAGGGCTTAGGGTTAGGCTCTCGGTATTGGGTGAGAGCATCCTCATACCGGTAGGAAGCTCCCGGATTTTGCTTGAAATCGTACGCCCGTTCTCAAATCGAGCCATGTTGCCTGCATGCGATAGTTCCTCGATCCCTCCTTCGGTTCGCGAATCTCGATATTGCGAAGGGACCTCGCTCACTGCGGAAAGCTTCTTGGGTTTTATGGCCCTTGACAGGTAGAATATAGAGTTTGGGGATATGATGGAATATCTGGTCCTTAAGAAGCAGGAACAGCATTTGGGGGCATAAGACAGCATAATCGGTTCGGGGGATGCACGCCCATTCGATTCTGGCTGGCAGCATGTTGCCTTCGAAGTCCAACGGTAATTGATCACATACTCTCTGTCTTACTCTTCCCTGTATCAACCCTCGGTCCTGATGCCGAAGTCAACTGCCGATTCGAAAATGACGGACTACGTCACTGCGATGTGTCCGCAACAAGCCTGTCCATCAAGAGAGTCGTTGATGACACCGTACCTGTGTCCTTCGCAGCTCTCAGCTTTTTCAATTGTTGCTTCGGCATCAATTGCCATACCCAACAGCTCCAGCAAGGTGCTCGGACATCTACCTGAACGCTTCCGTATGTAAGGGCCACATGAGCCATCATCTAGAATCTAGCTATGCCTTGCTGAGTTCACGTAAACTTGTGCTCTAAACACTACCGTCCTTTTGTAAGTGGAGCTTCTGTGCTGGTTGCTGGACTGATCAAGCCCGTCTCACGCGTGGATGCCGTGGAACTCAGCGTGCTGCTGATTTACTGGGAATCCCTATACATGAGGCCTACAAACGCGCACCACCTGGCAATCCGTTCGGATCGGTTATCAAGGAGGCGTCTTGCCTGTCTCCCTCAAAGCCTCTCCTATCAGGAGTGCATTGCCCATTACAGAGGCCAGCGACTCGCCAGCTTCCCCGTGGGATGCGGTCCTCATCGATGATGTTGACAGCCATGCCCTCCATGACATCCTGATATCAGAGATGAGAGCGGACAAAGCTGGAAAACTTAGGTTTGGGTCTAGTGTCGCTAGCGGCTCGAAGGGTGCCTCAACCACATGTACTGGCTTGCAGGTCTCTCAGGACCGGACAGAACGAGCAAAACTGTTCTGAAAACAGTCCGGAAAAAACACACTATATGGATCAGAGGGCAACAGGCCTGGAGCGTTACATTCACAAAGTTATATGCCTTGCTGCATCAAGCGCTGAAGCTAACGTATGGTCCTTATAGTTAGCCTGATCTGCGGTACACAGCTTACATGTTCCAGGTCTGTGATGCACTGCAGGTGCCAGGTGCCTTGGCGAAGTGTTTGACCGCCTGTTGCAGGCGTGCCTGACCCGGTAGGAATCGAAATTGCAGATTGTCAGGGTTTGACATCTTGTTTTGACTGTTGAAACGCCCGACAAAGACCCGATCGTAGCAGGACAAGCTTTACAGTAAGTGGCGTCACAACTCTAACCGTCAGGCAGGAGACACGTGCTACGGAAAGGATAAGGATAGGAGCTTGAGTCGTCAAAGGGTCATTGGTAGCGCGAAGTACTACGACGACACAAAGAGCGGTGGCTAGCGGCTACCACAAGCTCAGAACAGAGCAGAGATCGAACGGGGGGTCGGTAAACCAAACCTTCTGCAGATCCAGGAATCCGCAAAAACTTGGCCGGCCGCGCGGCTACATATCCAACTTGCTACTGCTACCACTACGGCTACTGCTACTGCTCTGCTGCGACCATTCTAGTGGTAGTCGTAGTCGTCGTAGTCGTAGTCGTAGTAGTCGTAATGGTCGTAGATGTCGTAATAGTCGTCGGTAGTAGTAGCAGTCGTCGTCGTCGCCGCCGCCGTCGTTTAGAACAAGTATTTGAGCAAGATTGCCTCGCAATCTTGCGATCTTGGTCTCGCCGACTAGTTTACCTAAGAGTGCAACCAAGATTGCCAAGCAATCTTGCAACCTTGGTCTCCAAAAGGTAAACTAGTCGGCGAGCAAGTGGGGCAAGGGCAAGATGACCGAGATTGCCAAGATTCTTTGGCAATCTTACTCCCCCCACCTGACCAAGATTGCCAAGACGGCTCCGNNTGTCGTGAATGTGGGTCTGGTTGCTCGCCTTCTTGACGATGTTGGTACTGTTGTAGCGATGTCAGTCGCAGTCTTCTGTAGAGATGATAGTAGCTTCGGTTCTCAAAGGCAGTCGAACAGTCAGCAAAGGAGTAGTAGTAGTAGTAGTAGTAGCAGCAGCAGTAGTAGTAGTAGTCATCGTCGTCGTCGTAGTAGTAGTAGTAGTACATCGCCAAACGACACCACGGGCAAACTAGACGCCAATCAACTCGTGTGGAGACCTACTGTCGCGAGAACTCTGACAACCTGTACGACGCTCGAAGTTATACGAAAACACACAGGGTATAGTCGTACGATTTCCGAGCCACACTGGCCTCAGTGGCCCCTTTACTGACACGCGAAGCCGGACCAGTTCTCTGCCGAACCTTCTCTGCAGATTGGCCGGTGACACCGAGCCCCATCCTGGCTCCAGGTCATTCGCTGTGGGGCTGGGAAAAAGCGCTTGGAGTTTCTTTGTGCAGTTCCCTACAGTGCTGCCCTGACAACGCATTGGGCTGGCAATCAGGGGTCGAACGAAACATTGGAAAGGCCATCAGGATGTCTTGGTTGACATCACCCCAAACCCCAAAGCGCATCGCGGAATGAGGATTGGGTCAAGGGCACCAGATAGAACAAGAAAAGCGAAAACGTCCTGGCACCCATACTGATGCTTCATTCCGAAGCAAGAAAACCATGAACACTGTCTGAAAAGGTCAGTTTGGGGCATGCTTGTATCTACCGTAGGTAGAAGCCTCGAACGAGTAAGCACGCACACACACTCTCTTTTGTTTCGCCCTCTCTGCAGACATGCATCCATCCGTCCGTATGGGCGCACACACACTCATAAACACAGAGACGAATAAGTTTGTGTGTGTGTGTATATATATATGCACACATATATTACCAATTCTTTATATAACACATGAAAATGAACCGAAGATGCTCTTCTGGGACTGTACTAGACGAACTGACGAAGCCCTACCCACCATGTCCGTTGTGGCATTGATCTATAGTTCCCGCCTGACGGGCGGCACATCTGGATGTCGAGGAGGAGGAAGTGGAGGAGCGGTGGCCTCCTAAAGCTATCAGGGCTTGGGCTTCAATGGCTCCTGGGGCATACAAGTACGGGGTTTGTGCAGGCTACAGCCTATAGGGTTCAGGGCTTCGGTCTGGCTTTTGGGGCTTGTGGGGCTTGGGTGTAGGCCTCGCATCAGAACCCGAAACTTCAAAGAGACCCTGAAGAACTGTAGTCCTCAAGTCCCATTGAAGCACCGGACAGCAGTGCACGCTTGTGGCAATGATACTTACGAGCAGAATTTGTATATTTTGCTGTGGCTATGATTCCCTATTCTGGCTAACTTAAGTCTCCCTAAAGCCTATAAGCCCTAAACCCTAAAGCCCTAAGACCCTGAAGCCCTTGAAACCCATGGTTTCTGGCAGGGTCCTGGTTCGGCTCCTCGTCCTCCGGGGCCTCATTGAGCGTGAGAGCCTCCCGGGTGGAAGGCTGGAAGTTCATGGGCGCCTGTTAAGGAATTTAGCTCAGGTTAGCATAGTAATAAGAATAACAATAGTAATTATAGTCATAATAACTATTGTTACTATTGTTATACTTATATAATAATGATCATAATAATAATAATACATAATAATTGCATAAATAATAACCATATTATGTACTATGCATACCTGTTAAAGTGACTCAAACCACGCTCCTTGACAGAATAACCCGTAAGTCCGATGAGCCCTACGCCACCAAAGCCGGGAACCGTCCTGGACTTTTCGGCAGAGCCTGGAAGTGCGCATGCGTGGTGGAGCTGAGCGGCATGGCTCGCACAAACCTTGGTATCCAAAGAAACCATACCACTTAACTCAGGAATACTGAATATACCATAATATACCTTAGATCATACCGGGAGTCTTATCATGGTTTAAGTTTAAGGCATGTTTCTGAACTACGGGATATCGAGCACTCTAGGTGTCCATTGAATCATCATGGGCGGTCCCTTGCGTTGGGGCCCTCTAAGAAGACCCAAAAACTGTTCCAACATACCCTAAAAACAATTCCAACATACCCTAAAACCTGAAAGCTAGCCTTCAGAAACCTAAACCCAACATCTGAACACCCTTCAACACTCAAAAGACCGCACTGGGGCGACTGCTCTGTCGAGTTCTGCTCGCCCTGAGCCTCCGGTGCTTCGTGCATTTCAGCGGCTTCGGGCTCGGGGCTTACGGTTCTGCGGTATGTATAGGATTTAGAGTTTTGGGTTTAGGGTTTGGGGGGGCGTAGGATGATTCAGAGTTTCGGTGCTTTGCGGGGCATATGTCCCATCTGGGACACCCTGGGCGTCCATCGTAGGGTCGGCTATAATGAAGTGGCGGAAACCATTAACATAATATGTTCGATATGCACATGTATGTATATACGGGTATGCGGACCTACCCATTTACACACAAGGCGAGATAGCAATCGGAGCGTGGAAGCGTTCAAGGAACCCGGGGATGGGAGTGTTGTTCTAAGTTTCGTTGTTCTTTGAAAAAAGCGTGCATGGTTGGTGATTGGGGTTCACCCGGAACCCTGTACTCTAGTGTGAGTATGATGTGCTCAGTTTACGGGTTTCAGCGAAGGTTCATGACGTGCTTTCGCTTCAAAAGTCTCCTCTCCGGCCTTTGGTGCACCTTCACTCAGACATAGGGGCCAAAAGCACAGCGCACAAGCGAGGTAGCACTACCAAGCCTCCTACTACTACTACTACTACTACTACTACTACTACTCTACTGCTACTGCTACTGCTACTGCTACTGCTACTGCTACTGCTACTGCTACTGCTACTGCTACTGCTACTGCTACTGCTACTACTCCTACTCCTCCTACGACGACTACTACTGCTCC